CACCAGCAGCCCTCGAAAGTGACGACAGTTTCGCAGATCGCAGCCCCCCAGGGACGGCGAGGTCTAATCTGAATCTGCGTGGTGCCTCACTCCGCTGGACCCACCAGCAGCCCTCGAAAGTGACGACAATTTCGCAGATCGCAAACCCCCAGGGATGGCGAGGTCTAATCTGAATCTGCGTGGTGCCTCACTCCGCTGGACCCACCAGCAGCCCTCGAAAGTGACGACAATTTCGCAGATCGCAAACCCCCAGGGATGGCGAGGTCTAATCTGAATCTGCGTGGTGCCTCACTCCGCTGGACCCACCAGCAGCCCTCGAAAGTCGAGGTCTAATCTGAATCTGCGTGGTGCCTCACTCCGCTGGACCCACCAGCAGCCCTCGAAAGTGACGACAGTTTCGCAGATCGCAGCCCCCCAGGGCTGGCGAGGTCTAATCTGAATCTGCGTGGTGTCTCACTCCGCTGGACCCACCAGCAGCCCTCGAAAGTGGTGAAAGTTTCGCAGATCGCAGCCCCCCAGGGATGGCGAGGTCTAATCTGAATCTGCGTGGTGCCTCACTCCGCTGGACCCACCAGCAGCCCTCGAAAGTGGCGACAGTTTCACAGATCGCAGCCCCAAAGGGATGACGTAAAAGGCAAGAGAGAAGAGGAGGAGCGAAGAGAGGAGGAGAAGGGAAGCAAGAGAGGAGGAGCGAAGAGAGGAGAAGGGATGCAAGAGAGAAGAGGAGGAGCGAAGAGAGGCGGAGAAGGGAAGCAAGAGAGGAGAGGAAGAGGGAAGAGAGGAGGAGGAGGCGGGAAGGAAGGAAGGTGGAGACCGCAGTGCTCTATTCAAAACGAGTACCCAACGAAGGAGGGTTGGGGAAAAGAATGACGACTATTGTGAAGATGGAGAAGACGATACAGAAGATGATGAGCATGTAAATGATGGTAACTATGATGACGATAATCCGCTGGCCCCCTTGCGGGGCCATCAGGCTGCGAAGATTTGGCTTACAGCTCCCTGTACCAGTTATAGTTTCCAGTTTCCACTGTTACAGTCATGCTTTCTGCTTCCTTACTGGAAATTGTTGCTGAACGCGCACGGGGGGGAGACGAAACGCGTCCTGGTCAGCGTCCCCGAATCGCGTTGTCTGAATTCCGGGGGGGTCGTGGGACACATCAAAATACATGATATTCGCGTCCCCGAGGCCATAAGCCCTTGCAAATTACACCATATTCGCGTCACCGAGGCCATAAACCCCGTTCAAATTAATCCATCTTCGCGTCCCCGAAGCCATAAACCCTCGTACAATACACAAGATTCGCGTCCCCGAAGCCATAAAATCTCGCACAGTACGGATTATCCGCCCCCCTGAAGCCATAAACATTCGAAAATGATACAAGATTCGCGTCCCCGAGGCCATAAACCCTTGTAAATTACACCATACTTGCGTCCCCGAGGACACAAACCCTTGCAAAGTATATAATATTCGCGTCCCCGAGGCCATACACCCTCGTAAATTACACGATGTTTGCGCCCCCGAGGCCATAAACCAAGTGAAGTATGCAATATTTGCGTCCCCGAGGCCGCAAACCCTTGTAAATTATATAATTCTCGCGTCCCCGAAGCCATAAACCATCGTAAAGTACCTGCGATTCGCGCCACCGAAACCATACACTCGTAAATTAATATTAGCGCTCGCGTGAAGTCCCGACATTGCTTCACGTTGGCGTCCAGACATCCCAACGCAGCTCTGGCAAGAGAGGGGGGCCGGCGGCATGGGGGCGAAGCCCGTATGGATAACTATGATGATTATGAGAATGAGAATGAGAATGAGAATGATGATGATGATGATGATGATGATGATGATGATGATGATGATGATGATGATGATGATGATGGTGATGGTGATGGTGATGGTGATGGTGATGGTGATGATGATGATGATGATGGTGGTTTAGACACTGCTAACTTTGATGGTAGCGACGTCGACGACGACGAGCATGATGGTGATGATGAGTCAGATTATGATGATGATGATGATGATGATGATGATGATGATGATGATGATGGGATGATGGGATGATGGTGATAGCGATGGCGATGGCGATGGCGATGGCGATGGCGATGGCGATGGCGGCGATGATGATGATGATGATGATGATGATGATGATGATGATGATGATGATGATGATGATGATGATGATGATGATGATGAATGGCACGAGAGGAGCAGGAGGCCCCAACACATCCCCGATATGGGCCCAACATTGCTCAACGCGTCCCAAAGGCGGCCTGAGAGGCCCCAAGATGCCCCAACAGGCCCGACAGATGGCCCAACGAGGTCCCCGAGCAGCCCAAGCGTGGCCTTAGGTCGGGCATGTCCTCCTACAGGCGGATTGTGGACGAAAAGTTAAAAGATAGTCGAACAAATCCAAAATAGTCAAAAAATGCTCCCACAAATCATCCCTGGACTATTTTTTTCCTATCTTGGAATGTTCTTTTTTTTACTATCTTGGAATGTTCCTCCTGTAGAGGGACAGGCCCGACTTACGCGTGGCCACGA